GGCGGTCCGCAGATCAGCATCATGTACGACAGCTTCGATGTGGACGACATTGCCGACAGTGTGCTTCCCAGCTCCTTCGATTACCGCGACCTGGATGTGGTCAGCGTGGTGAAGAATCAGGGCGGTGCTCAGGTAATTTCTTTGACCATTTTTCATGCATTTCATCATCATCGATCATTTCCTAGACCTGCTACCTCTTCGCCGCCCTCAGCGCCGTCAAGTCGGCCTTCATGCTGAGCCACAGGGGCCGCCGGAACGTCTCCTTCAGCGAGAAGGACGCCTACAACTGCCTGGCGAAGCTGGGCTACAATGACGCCCCCCAGGTGGGCGGCCAGGTGGAGACCGTCTATCGGATGTTCATGGAGGCGCACGGCATCGTCTACCAGAAGGACGCAGAGCAGTACGACTTTACGAGGAAGGACTACGAGACGCCGCCCAAGGTAAACACAAGCAGAGAAATAGAAATAGAAATAGAAACTCGCCTTTTGTTTATCTTTTCTGTTTACCGGTAGCTTCACAAGGAGAAGTGCCTGCCCCTGACGCCCTCCCAGGAGGCGACCCGAATGAGGGGTTTTGCCAAGGAATACGGCCTGGAGGGCGAGGGCTCCCTGCAGCGGCTGAAGAAGATCGTCTACAAGTACGGCCCGGTGACCACCGTCTTTCGGGCGCCCATGGACAGCCGCTGGCTGCAGCTGGCCGGCGAGATGAACTTTGCCTGCAATACGACGGCGGCGCCGATGCCCGATCACGCCATGCTCATAACGGGTAAGCGGAAAAGTTTGATAACAAAGGTAACTCAAAATCTAAAATCTCTCTTCCCCAGGCTGGACACCGACCCATCTGGTGATCAAGAACTCCTACGGCAACTACGAACACGATGACGACCGGTGGGGAATAAAGGTGAGTGGAATTTGTAAGCGTCAACTTTACTCATTTTTCTACCATTTCACTTNCCAGCTCTCTCCCTCTTTTTCAGAGGAGCCAGTGAGGCAGAACGGTGGTCTTGATGATGTCAACGTGATCAATGACGGTGCCGTTCCTATCATCGGAGGTCTGCTCCAGCAGAATGCGATCACCGCCGCCCTGGAAGCTGAGTCTCGTAAAACCGTAGTCATAATGATGTTCCGCGACCCAGCTCTTCAGGTGCGGGTTAAAGGGCGGGTGGTTCTCGCGGTTGCCCGCCGACCCAGTGGTGATGTGCACCGGCGCATGGGCGTTGGTGTATGACGTCCCCTGGGAGCCGCCCTGGACGGTGTAGTTGAAGAGCGGGAGGAAGCGGGCGTAGAAGTGCTCGTGCCCGGAGAAGATCACGTCGACGCCGTACTTGTAGAAGAGCGGCTCCAGGGCGTACTG